AAAGCATTCAAGGCTGCTTTGTGACATAATGACAGTACTTCTTCGTCATAAAGATCTTGGACCTGTTGATCAGCATATGCTCCTCACCAAGAATTTGATCTTGGGAAGCCTCCACACCTTTTGCTCTTCCTTGCTGTTCCATATGTCTGGATTCTTCTCTGAAATAAATTCCAAAAATCAAGGAAGGTCCATCATCTAAAACTGCAGACTCTAAGAGAAATCATGGGGGGTAGCTCTGACTTTAGAGGCCCAAGTCCTTATCATTTCCTTAACAAATGCAGAGTGCAAGCCATAATTAACGACAGCTTCCTTAATTTCTTTTAAATCATTCATTGCTATTGGTGTCCATCTAGCTTCTTTAACTCCCTTTGAGCCTTTAGAAGTTGACACTTTTTCAGAATAAATTACAGGGTATATCGTTAGAACCCTGGGTAAGTCAGTTCTAACAGCTGGTGGTGGCATTGTATCCTGTCCTTGTGCCTTCTTACTCTGTTCACCAACTCCAATAATTTCTCCAATCATTTCAAATGTTTTTATCATTGTATCTCTTAAATCCTGAATCTCCTGACCTACTTGTGTTTCTAGGAATTTTACTAAGGTATCAGTTTTTTGGTTCCCATTCTGGAGGTGCATTCTATCTGTTACCTTATCAAAACTTTGTGGTAACGTCTGAACATCAAATTCAACAACCTGAACCCTTTCAGGTAACTTCCTAGTACCCTTAGATATGGAGTCAATTTTGTCTATCATAGTATCCACTTGTTCAGATAACCCCTGATTTTCAATAATTTTAATCCTTTCAACTAGTCGTTCATTATTAGTCCGTAAAAATCATATCTTCCTTAATAATAGAATATTGAAAAAAACTGAAACCTAGTAACCAGTAAATTAATGTATCCCCATAGTCATATAAACCTTGCATGACATAATCCATTGTATTAATAAAGAAAACAGTAAAATTGGCATTGGAAACAAAAACTGTCATATTACCTCTTGTTTAGTAGGCGGCACTGTTGCCAAATTGCGACTAGAACCACTGCAAAGGTGATGGAAATGGGGTCCTATTTCAGTGTCCGCCTTAGTATTTGTTAAAAACTAGGAAATATAAGTTTCTCAACAAAGAAGATGTAATTAAATCAATTCCATACACGGAACCAGAAACCCAGAATCCAGGGGTAGAGAAGAGCAACCCAGAAACCGCGTATGCCTCCATGTGACTGAGTCGCCCAGAGGAGTTGCAGCTTTTGGCAACTGCTTGCTTTCTGATTCACACCACTCAAGTGCTGCACTTGCAGGGGAGATTTAAAAACAACTCAGAAAAGAGCAAACCAGGTGGGCAGAGACTGTCCCAAGCCTGTGGAACTTGGGAGGCATGGAGTTTAAATCCACATGGGGGCTTGAAGCCAATCTGACGCGTGTAATATGAAAATATAAAGAATTGCAGCAAGAAAAGCCACTGCACGATAGTTTATATTGAACTCCTGGCTCTACACACAGGCCACAGGTTGCAGCTGAGGGAGGGCTCATGCCTAGCAGAGCTGGTGGCAGGCAGTTGAGCAGGGGGAGGGGGATAAGGGAGGTTCTAGAACCAAATGTTGAGTGCCAGAAGAAGGCGTAAGTCACAAAAAATCCCACAGCAATTTTGAATTATGATTAATAGAATGGTTATTTATTCAAAGGGGAAAAAACTTACAGATTACCGTCCCAAACAACAGCCCCTCTGCAAGATCAGAAAAGGAGTCTAGGAGCCAGAAGCGGAGCCAGAAGCCAGAGAGAGAGTGGAGGACAGCTGCTGCTTTTTTTAAAGAGAGAAAGACCACGCTCCAATGGACTGGTATCTCAGAGGCTATTGGCTGAAGGAGCAGAAGAAGCTCCCACAGCACCTAGACATGGCCTCAACCACAGCTCAGACCCAGATATCAATATGGCCCCAGGTGGCATTGCAGGCCACTCCAATATATATGGCACCAACAGCATGATCCTCAGGCAGTAACATGGCCTCAGGGGTCAGTTCTGATGCCAAGCATCTTCACTGCCTTTGACAGTAACCTGAGCCACAGACATCACCATGGACCCTGATTTATGGTTGGGTCATTTACCTAGACATGACCACTTTCAACAGTCTAACCCCGATTAAAGCCATGGCCATGGATGGCAAAGCAGTCTACTCTTGTCACCTTGGTGCTGGTACATCCAGAGGAACCCAAAATGGTCACAGGTGATGATTCAGAATCTGGGTATCCTTGTTGTGTTTAGTGGGAATGCAGGCCATGGACATCAACATAGACTCCAACCAAGACTGGCATCAGACTCAGGCATAGTCCTCAGCAGCATCTCAGGCCCAAATGTCCCCATTGCCCTGGCTGATTGCTCAGGCCACTTAGATCTCAATATCCCCCCATGCAAGATGCCCTTTAAACAACAATATAGACCCAGGTGGTGGCCCAGTCATCGTATGTCTGCATGGCCCTCAATAGTACAGGAAGCCATGGATATCAGCACAGATCCTGGCTATAGTAGGGCCATGAACACAGATATGGCCCCTGGATGAAACCTAGCCCCAGATACCATTAGAGTCTCTGGTGGCAGCTCAGTCCACTCTGATCTGTATGGCCCCAGTGGCAACATGACTCTCTGGAACCAATACAGCCTCTAGGGTCGGCCTGTATCCTAGGCATCTACAAAGCCTTCAGTGGTAATAGGAGCACTGACATTAACCCAGATCGCAGCTGCTGTAGGGCCATGAACCCAGACATGTTCCATAGCAGCAGCTCAACACCCTGGACACAGGTGGCAGTGCAATCCACACAAATCAGCACAGCCCCAACTACAGTTCATCCCTCAGTTACCAACATGGCCACAGGTGGTGGTCCAGAGTTCAAATATCTATGTATGTACCTTTTGGTGGTGACACAGACCATGGGTATCAACACAGAACACAACTTTGGTAGGACCACAGATCCAGGCATGATCCTCAGCACCAACCCAGTAGAGATGCCACCATAACTCCAGGTGACAGCACAAACCAATCAAATTGGGATAGTCCCTTAAGTGGCATGACCCACAGGCACTAACATGGCCACATACGGCAGCCCAAACCCTGGAATTTTTATGGCCTTCAGCAGTAACAGAAGCCATGGGTATCAACACAGACAAGCTATGGCTTGGCTGTGGCCATCTATCAGCAGCACAGGACTGTAACATGAAGGGGCCTGCTTGTTGGGGTTTATGTCCTACCCAGTTCCCCACAGCTGGCAAGCCCCAAAGAAAATCACACAGATATCTCTATAAGTCATAAAACTGATTGGCCCATTAGCTCAGGCTACTTATTAGCTCTTGTAGCTTATATTAACCATTATTCTTATCTATGTTAGCCACATGGCTCAGTACCTTTCTCAGCCAGGCAGATTACATCTTGCTTCTTCCATGGTCTGGGCAGGACTGGGAGGAATGGGCTTCCTCCTTCCTCACATTCTCCAGTTCTCATTGCCCTGCCTCTACTTCCAGTCTGGTTGACCTGCCAATACTTCCTGCCTGGCCAATCAGTATTTATTTAAAACATGATTGACAGAATACAATTATTCTGTACCACAGGACCAGACGTCACCATGGCCCCAGATGGCAAGCAGGGCTCCTACATCAGCCTGTTCCTCATCACCTTCACCTCTACAGATCCCTTTCTCTCGACAGGACATGAACCTCTCTACTTTTGTCTCCCTCCCATCACCCTCCATACATTTTTTAACCATAATGGCACCCAACTACACAGTGCCAGACAGACCCTTAGCTTCTTCCAGCCCATCTAGGTTAACCACCCTGGGGCAATGCATGTGAGTCCATTTCTCCCTAATGATAGTCTTATATCCTTAGTCAGTACCTAGTCCATAGTCATTAGAAAGACTTCAGCTAGCAGACTCAGAGAACCACAGCCAAACACTAGGTAGTGAAAAAGCCCAAGTTGAAGATTTCCACAGGTTCCTTCCCTGTAGGCAGAGCCTGTTCATTCATATCCCAGTCTCTCAGACATGAATAACAACACAGAAACTATATTAATTATAAAACTGTTTGGCCAAAAGCTTAGACATATTTCTAGCTAGTTCTTACATCTTAAATTAGCCCATTTCTATTCATCTGTGTATCATCATGAAGATGTGGCCTACTGGTAAGTTTCTGACTGGCAGCTGGTTTCTTTCACCCTTCGGCAGCTACATGACATCTCCCTGACTCTGTCTACTTTCTCACTATATCTCTGTTCAGATTTCCCACCTGACTTTACAAAGCCAATGACCAAATAACCAAATGATAATAAAATATATTCATAGCATACACAGGGGACTCCCACATCACCTTTCCTTGGGGCTCAGGAAACCCCACAGAAGAGGGGATGAAGTCAGAGGGGCTAGGGATACCATGAGAACAGAGCCTACAGAATCCAACTAAGCAGGGTTAATAGGGGCTCAGAGAGACTGAAGCAGCAATTACAGAGACTGCATGGGTCTGCACAGGGTCCTTGGCATATACATTATGACAGTTTAGCTTAGTGTTCTTCTGGGACTCCTATCAGTGGGAGTGGGTAGGATTATAACTCTTTCTCCTGCCCTTGGGACTATTTTCCTCCTACAGGGTTGCCTTGCTCAGCCCTAAAAAGAGGGTTTGTTCCTGGTCTTACTGTACCTTGTTATTAACTGCTCTGTTAATATTCCTGGGAGGCCTGCTCTTTTCTGAAGTAAAATGGAGAAGGATTGGATCTGGTGGGGGGGGCGAGTGTGGGGGTCTAGGAGGAGCAGAAAAAGAGGAGACTATGGTCAAAATGTATTGTATAAGAGAAGCATAATTTTAAAAAAAATAATTAAAAAAAGATCAACCCGAAACATCTACCTAAAAATGGGTTCTCTCAAATGACAAAGCAAATTTTTTAACAACAAAAAAAGAGGGGAAAATAGAAGAAACCCATCCCTGTAGAGGAACTATCATGCAGTCCTCATTTGAAAACACATCCAAAGCTCCCTTTGGCAGCTCATATACTAAAATTGGAACAATACAGGAAATATTAGCATGGACCATGCTCAAGAATGACATGAAAATTTGTGAAATGTTCCATATTTTTCAACATCACACCAGTAAAATCTAGAGACCCTACAACAGCAAGACTTGAACAACCAAATATAAATGAAGCAGAAGAAAACGACCTAAAAAATAGCTTCAGGAGAATGTTTGAGACTCTGAAAGAGTAAATGAGAAATTCCCTCAAAGAAATGGAGGAAAACACAAACAAAAAATTGGAAGAAATCAACAAATCCCTTAAAGGAAACCAAGAAAACACAATCAAACATATGAAAGAAACTATTCAAGACTTGAAAACTGAAAGGAGACAATAAAGAAAACACAAGCCGAGGGAATTATAGAAACTGAAATCATGACAAAACAATCAGGAACCACAAATGCAAACATAAACAGCAGAATACAAGAGATGGAAGAGAGAATCTCAAACACTGAAGATACAATAGAGGAAATAGACTCATCAGTCAAAGAAAACATTAAATCTAACAAAAGCGTCACACAAAATATCCAGGAAATATGGGATACTGTGAAAAGACCAAACCTAAGAATAATAGGTATAAAAGGAGGAGAAGAAGTTCAACTCAAAAGAACATAAAATATATTTAACAAAATCATGGAAGAAAATTTTCCCAACCTAAAGAAAAATATGCCTATGAAGATATAAGAAGCATAAAGAACACCAAATAGACTGGATCCAAAAAAAATAAGTCCTCTTACCACATAATAATCAAAACTCTAAAGATACAGAATAAAGAATGAATATTAAGAGCTGCAAAAGAAAAAGGCCAAATAACCTATAAAGGCAGACCTATCAGAATTACACCTGACTTCTCATTGGAGACAATAAAAGCCAGAAAGTCATGGTCAAGCATTATGCAGACATTAAGAGGACACAAATGCCAGCTCAGACTACTATAACTAGCAAAACTTTCAAGATCAAAAACATTCATGACAACTTATGTAGGAGAGGTTGTTGAATAAAGGAAACACTCCAGCATTGCTGGTAGGAGTGCAAGCTGGAACAGCCCCTTAGAGTATCAGTGTGGTGATTTCTCAGAAAATTAGGAAACAACCTTCCTCAAGACTCAGTAATACCACTTTTAGGTATATATTTATAAAATGCTCAACCATGCCACAAGGGCATGTGTTCAACTATGTTCGTAGCAGTATTGTTTGTCATAGCCAGAAGCTAAAAACAACCTACATGCCCTTCAACCGAGAAATGGATAAGGAAAATGTGGTACATTTACATAATTGAGTACTACACAACAGAAAAAAATAGCATCTTGAAATTTGCAGGCAAGTGGATGGAGCTAGAAAACATCATTTTGAGTGAGGTAACCCAGATCCAGAAAGACAATTGTCATATGTAATTACTCGTAAGTTTTTTTTAACATAAAACAATGAAAATCAGCCTACAAATCACAATCCCAGAGAACCTAAACAATGAGAACTCTAAGAGAGAGATACATAAATCTAATCTACATAGAAAGTAGAAACAGACAAGATCTCCTTGGTCAACTGGAAGCATGGGGACCTTGGGAGAGGGTTGAAGGGGAGGGGAGAGACAAGGAGGGGAGCAAGAAAAAAAAGTAGAGCTCAATAAAAATCAATAAAAAAAAGAAAACACATCCAACCCAAACTTGTCTCTGATTTTATCTAAACTCTATCTTTGAGGGTCAGAGCCAGCAACTATTCACTTAATTTATTAAAGAAAAAAACCATTTCTTGTGTACTATGCTGCAAATGGCTGTAGAAGTTAATTTGTAAGGCTAGTGAGAGCATCCAGAAGAAACCCTGTGACATTTTTGACATTTACAATGCTACCACTACCACCATCGACCAACATGATTAGATTTCAGGAGTGTGAAATACTTCAAATCAAGACTCATGTGAGACAATGCTACCATAGTTTCAGTGACTCCAAATGAACAAAAACAAATGTATGTAGTAGCATCCCCTGAAGATGCCAGCCACTGGGCTAGGCTGGCCTACTCCACATCTAGAAGAAAGCAAAAGTCCTAAGAAGAGGCACAAGGGTACCATGTACCTTACAACCACAGCAACCATAAATGATACATGCCTACAAAAACACCAACAAAAAACAAGTGGAATTTAGCCTGGGCATTACAGGCACCAGAGATTCCTCTGTACAATGACATATATATGATGCTCTTGTTTCTACAGGAAAAGAAAAATTGTGGATACTATCAAAATTAATAAAGGTTTGGTTTGAAGAGAAGAAACTTCTTGGAAAGGAGACATGACAGCTCATCCACAATGATGATAATCATACAGGTGGTAAGAAAAACATATACGATGGGGGCAGGGTTTTGTTCTTGTCTTTGCAAGAAAATACTCATCTTCAAAAATTCAATGGATCCTGGATATTTGAATAATGACAGATGGAAAAAGTTACTACCCAATGTGGATCACCAAGAAAATTGAATAGGTTC